GGGTCCTTCAACTTTTTAAAAATACACACATTCAGACAGACACACCAAAGCTCCACAGAAGTGCTGACTTGCCCTCCTCCCGCCCTGTCCCAGGCTTACCTCTCTTTCTCATCCTGCCGGATGTACCTCTGCTCAGGTGGATGCGCTCGTAGCCAAGGGCTTAGGATTTTGTTTGGAAATTTAGCACAGGTGTTATCGCTGCGCCGCTGTCACTTTGTCAGCTGCCTTTTACACCTGCCATTAGGTTCAGGATTTATCAGTCTTCACAGCTTGTCTCGCCTGCACACACAGTGGCATGGCCTGTCCTCGGCAGTGACACTGGACATAAGAACTGCTGGAGATGAGCCAAGGAGAAAGAATTCAATGCCTGCTCTCATTCTCTCAGCTTTACCAAAAATAACCCAGGGACTTTAGCCTTCAGTTCAAAGGGGCATTTTTCTTTTTCTTTTTTTTTTTTGAGACAGAGTCTTGCTCTGTTGCTCATGCTGGAGTTCAGTGGCACGTTCATGGCTCACTGCAAACTTGACCTCCTGGACTCAAGCAATTCTCCCCCTCAGCCTCCTGAGTGGCTGGGACCACAGACACACATCACCATTCCCTGCTAATTTTTATTTTTCATAGAGATGGGGTTTCTGGCCGGGCACAGTGGCTCATGCCTATAATCGCACCACTTTGGGAGGCTGAAGCTGGAGGATCCCTTGAGCCCAGGAGCTTAAGACCAGCCTGGACAGCATAGCAAGATCCCATCTGTATTTTTTTTTCCCTGCGATAAAGTCTCTCTCTGTTCTGTAGTCTGGACCCGAACTCCAGGGATCAAGCAATCCTCCTGCCTCGGGCTCCCAAAGTCATGAGCCAGCGCTCCTAGTTCAAAGGGGCCTCTTTACTCCCTTGTCCTCCAGTTGCAGGGCAGCTCCCTCCACCAGTTCCCAGCACAGGCAGACAGAGAGCAGCCCCTGCCCCAGACCGGCTGCTGTGCCTTCAGCCTCAGAGCAACACCGGCCTCTCCTGCCCCACCCAGAGGGAGCCAGAGTTCCACACCTGCCACCTGGGGAGCACCTGGCAGAGCCCGAGGCCTGAAGCAGCCTGCAGAGATTGGAGTGAGGCCTCTGCAAGCCTGCACCAGCCCCCTTCTGGCAATGGTATCTTAAGACTCAGAGACGATTACAGGGAGGAGGACTCAGGGTAATAGGGTCAAGCCGCTGGGATGGAGGAGCTGACAGGTGGACAGGGGCCCAGGACAGCTGCCCTCCAGGGCCGGCTCTGGGGTGGAGGAGCTGACAGGTGGACAGGGGCCCAGGACAGCTGCCCTCCAGGGCCGGCTCTAGGGCAGAGCCAGAGGTGGGAGCCAGCACCACACTGAGAAAGCTGGGCAGGCCCTGGTCTCAGTGCCTAGCTCATCAAGGACTAGGTGTGAGTGCCATCTGAGCAGGTATGGACACTGTGTGGGCTCGAAGAACTGGGCAGGGCCCCACCTCCTCCACTTTCAGGCTGGGGAACTCCACTGAAGCTGACTCACTGACCACTTAGTGAGCACCTACTGTGTGTGGGGCCTCACACCAGGCACTGGGATGGGGATCTGCCCCGGAGAGGTGCACAGTTAGTGGGGGAGGGTAGAAGCAACTGGAGGAGGAAGGGAAGAGGCGTATTCAGTCCCCATGAGTGCCATGGCCAGTCACCACACCAGGGGCTTAACAGAAAGATATTCTCTCACGATTCTAGAGGTCAGAAGTCAAAAATCAAACTACAGGAGGCTCCTTCCTGCCTCTTCCAGCTGCTGGTGGCTCCAGGCTCGTAGCGGCCTCACTCCCGTCTCTGCCTCTGTCTTCCCGAGGCCGTCTCTCTCGTCTCTCATCTCTCTTACGTGTTGTCTCTGTCTCACATCTCCCTGTGAAGCCTGTTGTGGGGTTTACTGGCCCCCCCAAATCCAGGATGATCTTTAATTATATTTATAAAGACCCTCTTTCTACATAAGGTCACATTCACGGGTTCTGGGACACAGATCTTTTGGGAGCCATCATTCAGCCCACTTCACAGGGCACAGGGAACCCTCTAGAAGAGGCAGACCAGCAGAGACCAGTCTCTCTCTAGAGGGAAAGAGAGAGGTCTTCAGAAAAGCAGAGGAAGGATGTCAGGGCCCGGATGCAGGCATGGGAGGAGGAAGGTGGACGAGGTCCTGGCTGGAGGGACATGCAGAGCCCCTCCAGCCCTGCCGGAAGTTTGCCCTTGACCACGGGATGCTGGGAGGGGGCGGCAAGGGGTAGCAACAAGTTTGCTTGGAGCTGCAGCTGGAGAGGTGAGCTTCTCTTCAGTTTAGGATGAACTGCTCTGATGTGCAGGGAAAGGCTCAAAATTAAGGCATAATCCTGAAGAAAAGAGAAGCTCCAAACAACATTTTCCCTTATTTTTATGACTTAAGAATTTATTTGGCCAGCTGTGGTAGCTCATGCCTGTAATCCCAGCACTTTGTGGGGCTGAGGAGAGTGGAACACTTGAGGTCAGGAGTTTGAGACCAGCCTGACCAACATGGTGAAACCCCGCCTCTTCTAACAACACAAAACTTAGCCGGGCATGGTGGCGGGCACCTGTAATCCCAGCTACAGGAGAGGCTGAGGCTGGAGAATCATTGGAACCCAAAAGGCAGAGGCTGCAGTGCCAAGGTTGCACCACTGTACTCCAGCCTAGGTGACAGTGTGAGACTCCATCTCTAAAGAAAAAACCAAAAAGCAGGGCTTCTCTGCCTTCAGTGGTCTCAGGGTCCCCTCGGGATTCCCAGCAAGGGCCCAAGCTGCACTTTTCGAGTTAAAGTGAACTCTCTTTCCCTCTAGAGAGAGACTGGTCTCTGCTGGTCTGCCTCTTCTAGAAGGTTCCTTGTGCCCTGTGAAGTGGGCAGAATGATGGCTCCCAAAAGATCTGTGTCCCAGAACCTGTAAATGTGACCTTATGTAGAAAGAGGGTCTTTATAAAGATCATCCTGAATTTAGGGGGGCCAGTAAACCCCACAACAAGCTGCTTCGGACCCTGCTACAGCTGGGGGCAAAGGTTCCACGCAGCCTGTGTCCCCGCTTTCCTGTTCCTTCCTTTGTCTCCCTGTGTTCTCAGCTCAGGTCCCACCTGCTCAGGGAAGTCCTCCCAGATACCCCAGCCAGATCCAGGGCCTTTGTGATCTTCTCTCATGGAACCTGGGCTTTTTTCTCAGAAGGGAACTTACCCTCCTCTGGAAACACACAACCTCTGCTGGGACAAGCTAGTTAATATCCGTCATCCCTGCTGGACTCAGCCTCCTTGAAGGTGTCTGGCTGAGTTTGCTCAGCATCAAATCCCCATACCTAGAACAGTGCCTGGCACATAGTAGGAGCTCAATAAACCTCTGTCTGCACTTGCCCTTCAAGATTCCACTCATGGCTGGGTGCAGGGGCTCACGCCTATAAGCCCAGCACTCTGAGGCCAAGGTGGGAGGATTGCTTGAGTCCAGGAGTTTGAGACCAGCCTGGGCAGCATAGGGAGACTTCCTATCTGCAAAAGAAATAGAAAAATTAGCTGGGCATGGTGGTGTACCTGTAGTCCCAGCTACTCAGGAGGCTGAGGTAGAAGGATCGACTGAGCCCAGGAGATGGAGACTGCAGTGAGCTGTGATCATGCCACTGTACTCCAGCCTGGGCAGCAGAGTGAGATCCTGTCTCAAAACAAAACAAAAACAAATATTCCATTCACAAGAGGAACCGACTGGAGGGAGATTCGGGCCTCCCTCCCAGCCCCTCCTGCCTGGGATCAGGGCCACTTCTGCAGCCATCTGGAAAGGAAAAGCTGGTGTTTGTTGAGTTTGGCACTCGGATTTCACTGGTCTGAAATAGGGAGGCCTCATCTGTATTTTCAAAGCTCCCAGTGAACCTAATTCAGAGTCAGGGGTGAGACCATAGGCCTAGGGGCAGATTTGAGAGCTGCTCATTCTTTCTAGTCTGCTTCGGAGCAGGGAGTGGGGTGGGCGGTGAGCCTGGAAGAGGGCTTGGCCAACCAGGAGATTCCAGAAGAGGATGGAAGGCTTGCTGGGCCGGAATGCACGAGTGAAGTCATGTACCTACTGAGCCCAGGTTCGGACCGTCGCTAAAACCCGTGCACTGGGAGCAGACCTAGTTTAGCTGCCTCGGTTCTAGGTATAGGAAAAAATGTAAGCCCACAGAGCTAACAAGACCAGTGGCAGGTGCGAGGTAAGAACATCGCGCCTCAACAGATGCCCTTTGCATGCACTATCCTCACTGCTCCTTAAGGCTTTCTATACATAGACAATGTTGTCCGTTTTGCAGATGAGGAAACCGAGGCTGAGAGGTTAACTAACGTGCCTAAGGCCACACAGCTGTGAACAGATGAGCAGAAATTAGAACTCACATGTGGCTAGAATGGAGGCCTCATCTGTGTTTTCAAAGATGCAGATGAGGGCAGACTGGGGCTGGGGGTGGTGGTGACACATGCTTCCCTGGGCAGCATGATCAGGGCCTTGCCTGCACCTTGTAGGATTCCTTCCTGCTCTGATTCTGGCTTCTGCCCTCTCCCCCGCACCCTCCCGGCTCCACGCTCAGCTCCTTCAAGCCCAGCTGTCTGTGTTTGAAACTCCTCTGGCCTGATTCTGGGTTCCCACAGGGTATGGTGTGCTGGAAGTCCAGTTTTTCAGCTGGAGGATAACCTCAGAAAGGATGTCACAGCCAGTGAGGGAAGATACTTTCTCCTGGCTTTTCCTGAAAAGGCAGATGGGAGTTATGGCCACTCAAAAACCAGCAGAGCCTATGGTCCCATCTCGATTCCCAATCTGTGGCCTCCCCGCTCCCCTCACAAACCACAGCACCAGGAGTGTCTAGAGATCTCAGTTTAAATCCCAGCTCTGGCCAGGCGCAGTGGCTCACACCCATAATCCCAGCACTTTGGGAGGCCGAGGTGGGCAGCTCACCTGAGGTCGAGTTCAAGACCAGCCTGGCTAACATGGCGAACCCCCTTTTTCTTTAATTCAGCCTCCGTAGAGACTCAGAAATTGCCAGTGCCGACTACATTGCAAGTCATGAAGGCGGGGTATTGGGAAAAGTTTTCAATTAGCAATTATGGCGCCACGGATAAACCTCATTGGCTACGATACTGCCACTGTGCCAAGCTGAAACCCCATCTTTACTAAAAATATAAAAATTAGCCTGCCATGGTGGCAGGTGCCAGTAATCCCAGCTAGTATGGAGGCTGAGGCAGGAGAATCTCTTGAACCTGGGAGGTGGAGGTTGCAGTGAGCCCAGCTCTGCCACTTTCTATTTGGGTGACCTTGGGTGAATGAGTCCCTCTGAGCCTGTTTTCAGGAAATAGGGACAGAAGCACCACCTGTTTCTTATGGTCACTAAGAATTAGATAAACTCCTGAACGTGAAAGGGCCAGCCCCAGCCACTCTGTAAACGCCTGTGAAATCTGAGTGCGATGATGACTGCCTTTGTTTTTACAGCAAAGTGAAGAACTTTGTAGGACAAATCAGAAACCAAACTGTTTTTTGAAAAACAAAAAAACATTTATTTCTGTCAACTGAGTGCAGAGACGTTCTTCACAACCCCAATGCAGTACAGATTTCTTCCCCAAAACAAAATGAGCAAGGAAAAAAGAAAAAGAGCTATATCAGATGTGCTCATGAAGAACCAAGCCACTCTCATCTTTCTTTAAAAACGAAACCCAACGATCCTTTTGAGTGTGTGGTGCGGGCGTAGGATTGAAGCCGAAGGCCCTCGGGGCGCCGTGACCAGGGCTTTGCTCAGCTCCCAGCTCAGTGGAGCAGCCCTGCGGCCTGAGCCATCCTCGCAGCTTGCACAGAAGCTTCCAGAACCTAAAGGATCCATTCCCAGCAATCCTTAAATTCCCAGTCCCCACCTGGGGCCTCTCTCCCTAGCATCCTCATAGCTTTGGGAGCCCCTGAAGTGAACCCTGAAATACTCCGTCAACTCTGGGCTCAGACCTTTGCCCTTCTCTGTGTCACAAGGAAATGCCTGTCCAGAGGGTGGGAACAGGTGATTTCAGACCGTGCAGTAAAGCCACTGCCAGGCAAGTTTTAAGGCAAATCTTCTCTCCTTATTCGGTCTGAGCCAGCCCTGACCTCACCCCCAAGCAATCCTGCCTCTGCCAGACATGCAACTTAGGCAACTCGGGATGGAGGTGGGAGGAGGGAGGCTGGGGCAGATTCCAGGCGGTCTGGGTCTGATTGGGGAATGGACGTGTGTGCTTATGAAGGCTGCAGGCACCGGGCGCAGCTCCTGGCCCAGCTGCCCGAGTGGTGTGCAGGAACAGGGGCCCAAGGAAACCAAGATGGCAAAACAGGCCCCGGCTCTGGAAGCAACGTGAGGCCGTGCAGATCCCACTAGGCGGACCTCGTCGCATGTAACAGAAACTCCAGGAAAAGGGGTCACTGCAGGAGGCCCCTCGGATCTGACGGCAGGCAGGACCTTGCATCAAAATGATTTTCCTTTAGAACAAAAAAGAGGGGAGGAAAAAAGATCAAAGGAAGAGGTTCCATGAGCGTCATGAGATGAGACACAGCGGGGCTGTAAGGGAAGCAGGAAGGAGGGGGCTGCAGACACAGGGTGGCGGGCGCTGCCTCACATGGCTTCTTTTCTCCCTGGTGGGCTGGTGGGCTGGTAGCTGAGGCCGGCGGTCCCCTCCCCTGGGGAGCAGGCAGATGACTTTGGCAGGGAGGGGGGCTGGGGTTACTCCGTCTGGGCGTCGTAGTTGGCTCCGCCCGCCTTCTTCAGCTCACTCTTGATGAAATCTTCCTCCAGCTCCTTCCGATCACTGATCACAAACTCCTTAGCGAAATTCTGCAAGAACAAAGGAAAACACAGAGTTCCTATTGAGAAGGAAAGGACAGGATGTGAGGGTGGCTCAGGAACACACTGAGAAGCAAAGCCCTGAAAACACTGGCGAGGGATGGAAATGCAGCCCCAGCAGCAGGGTTGTCTGGCAGAAGAGTCCTGACTAGGGAGGAAGGAATGGGGGAGACGTGACGCTGTGTCTTCCCATCACCGCGGGGACAGCCCGAGGAAGCCAGGGCTTGAATTCTGGCTGCATTACCTTGGGCAAGTCCCTTCAATTCTTTGTGCCTCAATTCCTCACCTGTAAAAAAACATCTTGTCAGGAGAATAATAGGTTACGAGGTTGGAAAGGCAGGTGGGTGTGCTGGTAAATGCTTAACACTAGGCACTCAGAAAAAAAGAAAAGGAAGAGGGCAGGGGAGGGCAGGGGAGGGGAGGGCAACACTCTGATTGGTGGCTTCTGCCCATTTCCATGGTATTAATATTCCCACGGTGGCCGATGTCAGCCTATCTGAGTGATGTCACCATACATTGAGGTGGAAGTAGACAGGCCTAATTCGCTCTTGCCAGTTGTTCCCAGCAAGCTCCGGCCACCAGTGTTCCCAACGACACAGGAGCTTCCAGCCCTGGGTCTGCCATGGGCTTTCCACTCGCATTGGATCACATGAGGGTAGAGGCTGCACTTCATTCAATAAATACCATGCCAGGCTGTGGGGCTACAGGGCTGAACAAAACAGATGCAGTCACTGTCCCCTCTTGGGGTACACAGGTTTCATCCATAGCCTGCAGGCCTGGCACCCAGGGGGCACTCTGTAAACACGTGTGGCAGGAAGGAGTGAAGCAGGTGACCTGCATGGCCCTAAGTCATGATGATACACGAATTCTCACCATATGTGACTCCTAAGACTTTAACAAAGAACATTTCAGGATGATAACAGCTTGACAAAAAAAGCTATCGAACCCACAGAAATCACCCACATTAAAACAAAAAAAGTAAGGAAATAACATAAACAATGACCAATAGTTTGTTTTCTTCTTGAGAGAAAAGCCTGTCGCCCACGCTGGAGTGCAGTGGCTCGGTCTCGGCTCACTGCAACCTGCCTCAAGGGTTCAAGCCATTCTTATGTCTCAGCCTCCCGAGAAGTTGGGACTACAGGCGCCTACCACCATGCCTGGCTAAGTTTTCTATTTTTAGTAGAAGCGGGGTTTCACTGTGTTGGTCAGGCTGGTCTCGAACTCCTGGCCTCAAGTGATCCACCCGCCCTGGCCTCCCAAGGTGTTGGGATTATAGGTGTGAGCCACCACGCCCGTCCAACCACAATTACGCACTCCTGTGTACCAGCACAGGGCCGCGGCACTGCTAATGACACACAGTAGCAAATATGAATCATGGAAATGGAAACAACCCCTGTGTCCATCAATGGAGGAGTGGATTATCAGTACGGTCCATCCACACAATGGAACCCTCCTCAGCCACACAGAGGAACGAAGCGCTGCCTCCCGCGGCAAGATGGATGAACCTCGAAAACAGGATGCTGAGTGCAAGAGCCGGGCACAGAGACCATGTACGGTCAGCTACCATTTGTACAAATGTCTACAAAGGCAACCCCGTAGAGGCAGAAAGCGGACTCGGTTACAAGGAGCTGGAGATGGCAACATGAAATAATGAGACGTGCTAAAATTGGGACTGTGGTGATGGGTGCGAAAGAGTGCGTAGGATGAGTTGACTGTGGTGTTCACATTATACCTCAATAGAGTTCTTTTTTTTTTTTTTGAGACGGCGTTTCGCTCTTGTTACCCAGGCTGGAGTGCAATGGCGCGATCTCGGCTCACCGCAACCTCCGCCTCCTGGGTTCAGGCAATTCTCCTGCCTCAGCCTCCTGAGTAGCTGGGATTACAGGCACGCGCCACCATGTCCAGCTAATTTTTTGTATTTTTAGTAGAGACGGGGTTTCACCATGTTGACCAGGATGGTCTCGATCTGTTGACCTCGTGATCCACTCGCCTCGGCCTCCCAAAGTGCTGGGATTACAGGCGTGAGCCACCGCGCCCGGCCCCTCGAGTTCTTTTTAAAATGGCCTTTAAACTGAAAATAATGTGGTTAAAATAAGGCCTTATTTTAAAGAGAATCGACGTTATTTTCACTTTAAAGATGAGAAAACCAAAGCTGGAGACTGCAATGCTTGACCAAAGTCACGCACCTGAGGTCCCGTTAATGCCAAAGCTGGCATCTTAAGTCACCTTCTCTTTTTGGGGTGATGAAAAAGTTTTAGAACCAGATAGGGGTAGGGGTTGCACAACACTGTGAATGTATTAAAGGCCACAGAATTGTATACTTGTACACTTTAAAATGGCTCACGCCTGTAATCCCAGCACTTTGGAGGCCAAGGCAGGTAGATCACCTGAGTTCAGGAGTTCGAGACCAGCCTGGCCAACATGGTGAAACCCCACCCCTACTAAAAATACAAAACTTAGCTGGGCATGGTGGTACATGCCTGTAGTCCCAGCTACTCGGGAGGCTAAGGCAGGAGAATTGCTTGAACCCAGGAGGCGGAGGCTGCAGTGAGCCGAGATGGCGCCACTGCACTCCAGCCTGGGTGACAGAGAGAGGTCAGTCTCTAAATAAATAAATTAAAATGTTTGTTTTATTAATTAAAAAACAAAAAAGTCGCCATACTGCCAAGAATGATGAACCCAGGAACACCCTCAAGGTCAAGTTTAACAATAAAAAGACAAAGCGTTGATTCGCGGGCAAAGCCACTGAGAACACCGCCAAGGTGGAGGAGGGGAGCTTAATTCTTATCAAGCAGCTGATACGTGCCAGGAACGCCTCACTCCTGCTCTCATTCAGTCCTCAGTATATTAGCTTTATCTTATTTTACTTTTTGAAGATAAGGCCCATGGGCTGGGCTTGGAGAGACGTGCCTGGAATACAAAACACCCTTTAGATCCCTTCTGTGCCCACCCTACTATAGTGTGTTACTAAGTATATGTGATCAGTGCAATGAAAGAATACAAGTGAGATGGAAAAGCCAGAAAGGAGAATTGAGAATTAATGCATTTCTCAAGCCTGAGCCCCAGGACATGAGGGGCAGAGAGCGATCAGAAGTAGGAAACCAACAGCTTAAGATGCTTCTAGAATAAAGTCCAAAGTTCCTCTGCTTTGTGATAGCTATATATGGCAATCTACAGAAATAAGAACACTTGAATTTTGAGCCAGTTAGCTATTAGATTTAGATTAAGAAAAACAAGTTTGAGGGCTGGGTACAGTGGCTCATGCCTGTAATCCCAGCACTCTGGGAGGCTGAGGTGGGCAGA